CTGTACCCCCATATATACTGCAATACTCCTTATTCTGCACCCCTTGCATCCTCCATTCCTCCACACCCTGTACCCCCATATATACCGCAATACTCCTTATTCTGCACCCCTTGCATCCTCCGTTACTCCACACTCTGTACCCCCATATATACCGCAATACTCCTTATTCTGCACCCCTTGCATCCTCCATTCCTGCACACTCTGTACCCCCATATATACCGCAATACTCCTTATTCTGCACCCCCTTGCATCCTCCGTTACTCCACACTCTGTACCCCCATATATACTGCAATACTCCTTATTCTGCACCCCTTGCATCCTCCAATCCTGCACACCCTGTACCCCCATATATACCGCAATACTCCTTATTCTGCACCCCTTGCATCCTCCGTTACTCCACAATCTGTACCCCCATATATACCGCAATACTCCTTATTCTGCACCCCTTGCGTCCTCCATTCCTCCACACCCTGTACCCCCATATATACCGCAATACTCATTATTCTGCACCCCTTGCGTCCTCCATTCCTCCACAACCCTGTACCCCCATATATACCGCAATACTCCTTATTCTGCACCCCTTGCGTCCTCTATTCCTCCACACCCTGTACCCCCATATATACCCGCAATACTCCTTATTCTGTACCCCTTGCGTCCTCCATTCCTCCACACTCTGTACCCCCATATATACCGCAATACTCCTTATTCTGCACCCCTTGCGTCCTCCATTCCTCCACACCCTGTACCCCCATATATACCGCAATACTACATTTATTCTGCACCCCTTGCATCCTCCGTTACTCCACAATCTGTACCCCCATATATACCGCAATACTCCTTATTCTGTACCCCTTGCATCCTCCATTTCCTGCACACTTTGTACCCCCATATATACCGCAATACTCCTTATTCTGCACCCCTTGCATCCTCCGTTACTCCACAATCTGTACCCCCATATATACCGCAATACTCCTTATTCTGCACCCCTTGCATCCTCCATTCCTGCACACTCTGTAACCCCCATATATACCGCAATACTCCTTATTCTGCACCCCTTGCGTCCTCCATTCCTCCACACTCTGTACCCCCATATATACCGCAATACTCCTTATTCTGCACCCCTTGCATCCTCCATTCCTGCACACTCTGTACCCCCATATATACTGCAATACTCCTTATTCTGCACCCCTTGCATCCTCCAATCCTGCACACCCTGTACCCCCATATATACCGCAATACTCCTTATTCTGCACCCCTTGCATCCTCCGTTACTCCACAATCTGTACCCCCATATATACCGCAATACTCCTTATTCTGTACCCCCTTGCGTCCTCCATTCCTCCACACTCTGTACCCCCATATATACCGCAATACTCCTTATTCTGCACCCCTTGCGTCCTCCATTCCTCCACACCCTGTACCCCCATATATACCGCAATACTATTTATTCTGCACCCCTTGCATCCTCCGTTACTCCACAATCTGTACCCCCATATATACCGCAATACTCCTTATTCTGCACCCCTTGCATCCTCCATTCCTCCACACCCTGTACCCCCCATATATACCGCAATACTCCTTATTCTGCACCCCTTGCGTCCTCCATTCCTCCACAATCTGTACCCCCATATATACTGCAATACTCCTTATTCTGCACCCCTTGCATCCTCCAATCCTGCACACCCTGTACCCCCATATATACCGCAATACTCCTTATTCTGCACCCCTTGCGTCCTCCGTTACTCCACAATCTGTACCCCCATATATACCGCAATACTCCTTATTCTGTACCCCTTGCGTCCTCCATTCCTGCACACTCTGTACCCCCATATATACCGCAATACTCCTTATTCTGTACCCCTTGCAATCCTCCATTCCTCCACACCCTGTACCCCCATATATATACCGCAATACTCCTTATTCTGTACCCCTTGCATCCTCCATTCCTCCACACTCTGTACCCCCATATATACCGCAATACTCCTTATTCTGCACCCCTTGCGTCCTCCATTCCTCCACACCCTGTACCCCCATATATACCGCAATACTCCTTATTCTGTACCCCCTTGCGTCCTCTATTCCTCCACACACCCTGTACCCCCATATATACCGCAATACTCCTTATTCTGTACCCCTTGCGTCCTCCATTCCTGCACACTCTGTACCCCCATATATACTGCAATACTCCTCATTCTGCACCCCTTGCATCTTCCATTACTCAACAATCTGCACCCCTCTGCATCCCCAATTACCCCACATTCTGCATTTCTCACATTCCCTATTACCTCACAATTTGCCCCTTCCTGCACCTCCTTCCAGCCTCCATTATGCCACATTCTGAACCTCTATATTTCCCACAATACTTCTTATTCTGCACCCCCCTTGCATCCCCCATTACTCCACAATCAACCCTCAACCATTATATCACATTTTGAACTCCCTACATTCCATTTACCTCACACTCTGCCCATTCAGCATCCCCCATTACTCCACACACTATGCACCCCCTTATTCCTCCATTGCCCCACAATCTGCATCTCCTTGCATCCCCTTTTATTCCACATTCTACACTCCCATTACTACACGTTTTGCACCCCCATATATCCCTCAATACCATTACTACATATTTTGCACCCCCATATATCCCTCAATACCATTACTACACATTCTGCACCCCCATATATCTCTCAATACCATTACTACACATTCTGCACCCCCATATATCCCTCAATACCATTACTACACATTCTGCACCCCCATATATCCCTCAATACCATTACTACACATTCTGCACCCCCATATATCTCTCAATACAATTACTACACATTCTGCACCCCCCATATATCCCTCAATACAATTACTACACATTCTGCACCCCCATAATATCCCTCAATACCATTACTACACATTCTTCACCCCCATATATCCCTCAATACCATTACTACACATTCTGCACCCCCATATATCCCTCAATACCATTACTACACATTCTTCACCCCCATATATCTCTCAATACCATTACTACACATTCTGCACCCCCATATATCTCTCAATACCATTACTACACATTCTGCACCCCCATATATCCCTCAATACCATTACTACACATTCTGCACCCCCATATATCCCTCAATACCATTACTACACATTCTGCACTCCAATTACTCCACACTATGCACCCCCCATTACCCCAAAATCTGCATCTCTTTGCATCTCCCTTTATTCCACATTCTGCACTACCATTACTACACATTCTGCACCCCATTAATATCTCCCAACACAATTACTACACATTTTGCACCCCCATATATTCCTCAAAACCTTTAAGTCTGCACCCTCTGCATCCATCATTACTCCACAATCTGCTCCCCCTCCATCCCTGATTACCTCACATTCTGCACCCCCCTTGTGCCCCATTACATATTTATTCTCTACCAATGCATCCATCAATACAACTCACTTTGCACATTGCATCCCCCAATACCTCACATTGTACATACCCTGGATCCCCCATTATTGCACATTCTGCACCCCCATTACTACACACTCTGTACCCCCATGTATCCCTCAATACTTATTCTGAATCCCCTATTACTGCACAATCTGCACACCCTGCATACCTAATTACCTCAATGTCTGTGCCCCCTGCCACCCCCCTAATACCTCACATGGTACATCCCCTGGATCCTCCATTGCCCCACACTCTGCACCCCCATATATTCCACAATGCTTCTTAGTCTGCACCCTCTGCATCCACCATTACTTCACAATCTTCACCCCCTCCATCCCCGATTACCTCAAATTCTGCACCCCCGTGTGCCCCCATTACATATGTACAATCCTCCAATACACCTCACTCTGTACTTGTATCCCCCTGACTACATCGCACCCCCCCCCCCACTGCTCATATCTGAGCCCTTCCCTTCTCTGGGTTTTTGAGTGAAGTTGCACCTGGAGAAAGTGCAATCACTGGCCCCGGGGACCCCCTTCTGTTGTTGGGGTGCTCTCTGCACCCCACAGCTGATCCTCTGAAGCTTTCATGCAGTGATTTCTGCTGGGCCATGTCCCTGGCCATGGGTGTGGGGGATTCCAGACGTTGCAGGAGGGAATGAAGAATGGAAAGGAAGCGTGTTACTGGCAGGATCACCAGTCAAAACTAAAAGGAAAAAGAAAGCAAATGATTGAAAGAATTGAAATCCAATGAATGAAAGGGGCAGGGCCAGGGACAGTCAGGCTGGGGAGGAAAGGGCTCAATGATCAGGGCTGCTGTTAGAAACCATACAGTCAACCTGACGGCCCCACCCCTCCAAATAAAAAAAAACACATTTTACTATGCTTCAGTTATGAGTGAACACAGTGAGTGACTGACACCAATAACTCACTGTGTTCATTCAGGAATGGAAGGAGATGGTAAATGTGACATATTTAGTGGACCCTTCCCCCACTCTCCATTCTGAAGGATCCCATTGTGTGCTTGCAGCTGCCGGTGGATAGGAAAGGAGAGAACCCGGGCAGCTCTGTGGGGGGTGGGGGCACACAGGGGGGGCCTGGGCAGCAGGGGGAAACTTATGGTGCACAGGAAGGTTGATAAGTGAAGGGGGGGGGGGGGGGGGGCAACTACTGTAACCAATCTCCTGTATGGCTCTCTCTGCAGCAGCTGAAAGCCAGAGGGAGGGAGAGGAGAAGAAGCCAGCTTTCAGCTTCTGCAGAGAGAGCCATACAGGGGATCGGTTACAGTAACTGCCTTCCCACCGTGCTGATCAACCCCCCCTGCCCACACTGATTCACCCAGCTGCCTGGGCCCCCCTGCTGGCCTGTGCCCCATACAGGGAAACTAGTGGTACCCCCCTTATCCATGGCCCTGTCAATGATGCTGGACGTCCTCCAGTCAGGAAGGAGGCAGGGCTCTATCTGACTTGCTGCAGCTTCTAATGCACATTGTGAGAAGCTCACAGTGTGCAGTGACATCAGAGGAAGCCATTTCAGTCCAGGAGAGGAGCCGGTACACCTGTGCAAGACTGAAGGGGAGGAGCCGGTACACCCTGTGCGAGACTGAGGGGAGGAGCCGGTACACCTGTGCAAGACTGAAGGGGAGGAGCCGGTACACCTGTGCAAGACTGAAGGGGAGGGGCTGGTACACCTGTGCAACACTGAAGGGAAGGAGCCAATACACCTGTGCAAGACTGAAGGGGAGGATCTGGTACACCTGTGCAAGAATGAGGGGAGGAGCAGGTACACCTGTGCAACACCGAAGGGGAGGAGCCGGTACAACCTGTGCAAGACTGAAGGGGAGGAGCTGTTACACCTGTGCAAGACTGAAGGGGAGGAGCCGGTACAAAACCTGTGCGAGACTGAGGGGAGGAGCCGGTAAACCTGTGCGAGACTGAAGGGGAGGGGCTGGTACACCTGTGCAACACTGAAGGGGAGGAGCCAATACACCTGTGCAACACCGAAGGGGAGGAGCCGGTACACCTGTGCAAGACTGAAGGGGAGGAGCTGGTACACCTGTGCAACACCGAAGGGGAGGAGCCGTACACCTGTGCAAGACTGAAGGGGAGGAGCCGGTACACCTGTGCAAGACTGAAGGGGAGGAGCCGGTACAGCTGTGCAAGACTGAAGGGGAGGAGCCGGTACAGCTGTGCAAGACTGAAGGGGAGGAGCCGCTACACCTGTGCAAGACTGAAGGGGAGGAGCCGGTACACCTGTGCAAGACTGAAGGGGAGGAGCCGGTACACCTGTGCAAGACTGAAGGGGAGGAGCCGGTACACCTGTGCGAGACTGAAGGGGAGGAGCGGGTACACCTGTGCTAGACTGAAGGGGAGGAGCCAGTACACCTGTGCAAGACTGAAGGGGAGGAGCCGGTACACCTGTGCTAGACTGAAGGGGAGGAGCCGTACACCTGTGCAAGACTGAAGGGGAGGAGCCGGTACACCTGTGCAAGACTGAAGGAGAGGAGCCGCTACACCTGTGCAAGACTGAAGGGGAGGAGCCGGTACACCCTGTGCAAGACTGAAAGGGAGGAGCCGGTACACCTGTGCGAGACTGAAGGGGAGGAGCGGGTACACCTGTGCTAGACTGAAGGGGAGGAGCCGGTACACCTGTGCAAGACTGAAGGGGAGGAGCCGGTACACCTGTGCTAGACTGAAGGGGAGGAGCCAGTACACCTGTGAAACATTGAAGGGGAGGCCGAAGGTAAAATTTTAAAACCTCCATTGTGGTGCGTTGCTTTACCGCAACATCCACGATTCCGGCCCTAGATAGAAAAGACTGAAACCAAAGGATAACTATGGCAGCCAGGCCACCGGCATTTTTCAGAAAAGGCGCTCGCACCAGCGCTCTGTCTCAGTTGTTGAGTTTTCTCTCTTGTTTCTCGTACTGATTATACATGGCGGCACTTGGAGGGATTTTTTTCCGATAGCGCCGCATAATAATTGTCTGGAGGAGATCGGTCCCTGTGAAGTGTTCGAGGTGAGCGATTCTCCTCCCTTCTCCCCAATAATGTATTCCGGAGTCTCCGCACACAAGAGATGAGGCTATTAAAAGAGATTTAAAACGAAATTAGTCAGATTGCTCTCCGGAAGATTGTGCCGCAGACAAGGACTTAACACCGCCGCTGATAAGGAGCCGTCCGCTGACTGCCTGCATCATGTCGTCAGCCTCCCGGCACCACGGAGGGCTCCCTTAATATATTCACCGAACTGGAATTGTACCGCGACGCATGGAAACAACCCGCGCTATGCAGAAAAAAAAAGAAAAAGATGCGACTGTCCTTTTGTTTGATTTTCTAATAGGCAAATATAAAATAAAATATAATACCCAACAATAATAATATAATATAAAACACAAAATGTAATGCACCTCTGTATTTATTAAATAAACATCACGTATGTATCTTTTGTCAAGTTCCTGAATAGGATCCGCTATCAGCCTTTTCCAATCGCTGTACAGCAGAGCTCAGACCAGGGGAGGGAGAAGAAGCACAAGGAGACAATCAGCTGTGCTGAAGGGCAAGGAGGATGCTGGTAGGAGGAGAGAGCAGACTGACATGAGCTGCTTCTCCTTCACTATCCAATCACAGGATGGAGGAGGGACAAGACCTGAACTGCAGCAGGGAGAATCAGGTCCCATGCCATGACAGACAGGACTGGGCTGAATATATGTGCCAGAGCGGAATAAATCTCGAGGCTGGATGGACAGAAATACAAATAGTTCCCATATTTATACTTGTATGTAGCTATTTACCTGGACTGTAGCTTTAAAGTGTTACTAAAACCCCGGACCCTTCGTTCACTATATCCGCTCTCCCCCCGGACCCTTCGTTCACAATAACCGCTCTCCCCCGGACCCTGCATTCACTCTATCCCGCTCTCCCCGGACCCCGCATTCACTATATCCGCTCTCCCCGGACCCCACATTCACTATATCCGCTCTCCCTGTACCCTGCATTCACTGTATCCGCTCTCCCTGTACCCCGCATTCACTATATCCGCTCTCCCTGTACCCTGCATTCACTATATCCGCTCTCCTCGGACCCCGCATTCACTATATCCGCTCTCCCCGGACCCCGCATTCACTATATCCGGTCTCCCTGGACCCTGCATTCACTATATCTGCTCTCCCCGGACCCTGCATTCACTATATCCGCTCTCTCCGGACCCTACATTCACTATATCTGCTCTCCCCGGACCCAGAATTCACTATATCCGCTCTCCCCGGACCCTGCATTCACTATATCCGGTCTCCCCGGACCCAGAATTCACTATATCTGGTCTCCCCGGACCCCGCATTCACTATATCCGGTCTCCCGGACCCTGCATTCACTATATCCGCTCTCCCCGGACCCCGCATTCACTATATCCGGTCTCCCCGGACCCTGCATTCACTATATCCGCTCTCCTCGGACCCCGCATTCACTATATCCGCTCTCCCCGGACCCCGCATTCACTATATCCGGTCTCCCTGGACCCTGCATTCACTATATCTGCTCTCCCCGGACCCTGCATTCACTATATCCGCTCTCTCCGGACCCTACATTCACTATATCTGCTCTCCCCGGACCCCGCATTCACTATATCCGCTCTCCCCAGATCCTGCATTCACTATATCCGCTCTCCCCGGACCCAGAATTCACTATATCCGCTCTCCCCCCGGACCCTGCATTCACTATATCCGGTCTCCCTGGACCCTGCATTCACTATATCTGCTCTCCCCGGACCCCGCATTCACTATATCCGGTCTCCCTGGACCCTGCATTCACTATATCTGCTCTCCCCGGACCCCGCATTCACTATATCCGCTCTCACCGGACCCCGCATTCACTATATCCGCTCTCCCCGGACCCCGCATTCACTATATCCGCTCTCCCCGGACCCCGCATTCACTATATCCGCTCTCCCCGGACCCCGCATTCATTATATCCGCTCTCCCCGGACCCCGCATTCACTATATCCGCTCTCCCCGCACCCTGCATTCACTATATCCGGTCTCCCTGGACCCTGCATTCACTATATCTGCTCTCCCCGGACCCTGCATTCACTATATCCGCTCTCTCCGGACCCCGCATTCACTATATCCGCTCTCCCCGGACCCTGCATTCACTATATCCGCTCTCCCCCGGACCCTGCATTCACTATATCCGCTCTCCCCGGACCCTGCATTCATTATATCCGCTCTCCCCGGACCCCGCATTCACTATATCCGCTCTCCCCGGACCCTGCATTCACTATATCTGCTCTCCCCGTATGGGGGAAGGGACATTAGAGTGTAAGCTCCTGTGGTACAGAGACTGATGTGACTGTGGGGGAGGGGGACATTAGAGTGTAAGCTCCTCTGTACAGAGACTGATATGACTGTGGGGGGAGGGGACATTAGAGTGTAAGCTCCTCTGTACAGAGACTGATGTGACTGTGGGGGAGGGGACATTAGAGTGTAAGCTCCTCTGTACAGAGACTGATATGACTGGCTCAGTGTTCTCTGTACAGCGCTGCGGTATATGTCAGAGCTATATAAATGTATAATAATAATTGTGTGTAACTGTGGAGGAGGGGAAATTAGAGTGTAAGCTCCTCTGTACAGAGACTGATGTGACTGTGGGGGAGGAGAAATTAGAGTGTAAGCTCCTCTGTACAGAGACTGATGTGACTGTGGAGGAGGGGACATTAGAGTGTAAGCTCCTCTGGTACAGAGACTGATGTGACTGTGGGGCAGGGGACATTAGAGTGTAAGCTCCTCTGTACAGAGACTAATGTGACTGTGGGGGAGGGGACATTAGAGTGTAAGCTCCTCTATACAGAGACTGATGTGACTGTGGGGGAGGGGACATTAGAGTGTAAGCTCCTCTGTACAGAGACTGATGTGACTGTGGGGGAGGGGACATCAGTGTGTAAGCTCCTCTGGTACAGAGACTGATGTGACTGTGGGGGAGGGGACATTAGAGTGTAAGCTCCTCTGTACAGAGACTGATGTGACTGTGGGGGGAGGGGACATTAGAGTGTAAGCTCCTCTGTACAGAGACTGATGTGACTGTGGGGGGAGGGGACATTAGAGTGTAAGCTCCTCTGTACAGAGACTAATGTGACTGTGGGGGAGGGGACATCAGTGTGTAAGCTCCTCTGGTACAGAGACTAATGTGACTGTGGGGGAGGGGACATCAGTGTGTAAGCTCCTCTGGTACAGAGACTGATGTGACTGTGGGGGAGGGGACATTAGAGTGTAAGCTCCTCTATACAGAGACTGATGTGACTGTGGGGGAGGGGACATTAGAGTGTAAGCTCCTCTGTACAGAGACTGATGTGACTGTGGGGGAGGGGACATCAGTGTGTAAGCTCCTCTGGTACAGAGACTGATGTGACTGTGGGGGAAGGGACATCAGTGTGTAAGCTCCTCTGGTACAGAGACTGATGTGACTGTGGGGGAGGGGACATTAGATTGTAAGCTCCTCTGTACAGAGACTGATGTGACTGTGGGGGAGGGTACATTAGAGTGTAAGCTCCTCTGTACAGAGACTGATGTGACTGTGGGGGAGGGGATATTAGAGTGTAAGCTCCTCTGTACAGAGACTGATGTGACTGTGGGGGAGGGGACATTAGAGTGTAAGCTCCTCTGTACAGAGACTTATGTGACTGTGGGGGAGGGGACATTAGAGTGTAAGCTCCTCTGGTGCAGAGACTGATGTGAATGGCTCAGTGTTCTCTGTACAGCGCTGCGGTATATGTCAGAGCTACAAAAGTAAGAAAGGTAACTGAATAAGTAAAGCTAACCTAACATTAGATATATATTTTCTAGAATTTATTTGCTGTCCGATGTTCCCCTTTAAATCTTCCCCTGCATTGATCCCACATCATACCTTGGTATCCCTGAAATCCATCGGTGTCACCAGGAAATAATATATTCTGCCCGTCTGTCCAGAATGATTTCCAGCCCTGCAATAATTCAGGGAAATTGTCACCCCGGCGAGGCTTTACACATTATTGGCGGCCATAGATTCCAGCCGTCAGAGCGCATTTTCTAAATAATGTTTGCTTATTGCCTCTATTACATCTGCGGACCAAACAATTCACATTCTCTGAAACATTATTTGCTTGCTTATTCCGATGTAAATGAACCAACAAGGACATTTCAATATCTCTCCAATTTCTCCTGTATTGCTGTTATGATGTTCTGGCGCTGTGAATGGCCTGCTGCGGTGGGGGCGATGGGGGCCCGAGCCTATTCTGGGGCTGTTCCAAGGGGCTGTTTAAAGAAGAAGCTCTGATTTCAAAGACTGCATGTGGGCTGCAATTCACAATCTAAAGTTAGTAGACTTTCAGGCAGAGCTACAGGGGTGGCCTTTATAGACCAACAGGATCAATGCAACAATCCCCATTTGCTAGGCAAGGGGACCGGACGTACCACCCAACCAACCCAATGTGACAACCAGAACAGCCTCCACAACCAATAATCAGATTTCAGTCGGGTCACATGGAGCATACAGGGGGCATGCCGAAGCCCCTGCATATACTGACTTTCAA